TGGAATTGTGGTGTGTTCTTTTTGGGGAGTGGATTCAGTGAGTCCCTGGCCACAAATGGAAGACTGGAAGCTTGTTGAGGGTTTGGTGTTAGACTTTGATCCTTTTCTCCAAGAATCCTGCTAGAATTCTCCAGTTGAAGGGAAAGGGAACTGGAAAGCTGGAGACATTTGAGGTTGTGAGATCCTCAAAGGTCGGAAATTGGTTCCAGATTGATCTAGACACGTTACTTATTTAGAAAAGGCAAGCAACAGGTTTTTATCTTGTCATTGATCGAGTGGTCTTGAAAAAGAAAAGGAGTTAGATCCTGTTGCCAAGCATAGCTCAGACTTCCCGAATTCTCTGTGGCCCCCTGATTGCTATGAGTTCAACAGAGCTTTTTCAGCAAATGCTGCTTTTAGCCCCACCTACCCTGGCAGTCTCTCTGTGAGTATCCTAGGGTTACCAAACTGCTACTAGGCCCAAGTCCACTCCATATTTGGTAAGAACGGGGACAAAGACTGCCCATCCATAGGGAGACTATGGAAACAACAAAGATATGAAGCACAGAAGTCAGAGCTGGGAGGGGATTATAAGGAATGGAACTCTCTAGAGAATGTCAGGCAGACTCCAAGTCTTAGGGCCAGTGAGAATAAGCAATGCTCTCATCATAGGCAATTTAACTGGTACCTAGATTCTTAGAAGGTGCTATCAAAATCTGTAGAGAAATTGTTTAAGGACTTGCCTTCCATTGATCTTAAAGGACCATATTTTTCAGGAGATCACCTTTCTTCCTGTCATGAGCACTGGACAGGGTGACCTGACTCTGGGAACCAGAGAGAGGCCGCAAGCATTGAACATTGTGTGCTGATCTTGGTTCTGTTTTCATGGCAGCCCTCCTCACCTCTGGGTCAGAGCTTGGATTAATACCTCTGTGCAGCCAGCCATGTTGAACTTACCCATGGGAGGCAAGCAGCCTGGCACTGCAGATGCATTGATGCGTGAGCACAGTGTGCTGAGGTGTCAAGAGTGGACACACATTCAGCTTTCATGGCAATGCTTTTCCTGTCTTCTCTCTAAGAGAAACTTGGATGTCAAAGCATTTCCCACCTAGGTGCCATAGACGATATTACTGCTCCAGACACTATCTTGCTCAACACCCTGTCTTGTGAGAAACTAAACCTTTTCTTTTCAGGCCACAAACTAAAGTCTTTTACTTTCCCAAAAAAATGTGGGGGTTTCTACTTTGCCCAATTTTTTTTGGTCTTTCTGATTTATACCTCAAACCTTCAACAGAATGCTTGGGTCTTAGTGGTGCCTACCTTTAATACCAGAACTAGGGAGGCAGAGGCAAGGAAATCTCTGGGTTTGAGGCCTGGTCTACAGAGCAAGTTCCTGGATGGCCAGAACTAAATACACAGAGAAACCTTGTCTTGAAAAACCAAGAAAAATAAACAAACAAACAAAGAACAAAACAAAAGAACAGTGTGTTTCTATTTTCAGTGCAGAGAGCAGAAGTCCCAGACTCCCCATACCATGCAAGGCCTCTGCCTCCGAGCTACAGCTCCAGTTTCTGTGCTCCAAACCTTCAAACTCACAGAAATTATTCATGTTAGACTTGCACAGGAGAGGTGTATAAAGGTTTAACTGCTTTCATAAACCTGGATGAACCTCTGCATTAACTCTGATAAACACAAGTGGATGATAAGAGCCTTCCCTTTGTCCAGAATTTTGTGTGGAATGGATATTGTTCTAATGAAAGCAAGAGGTTCAAGGCCCAGACTTGCTATATCTGCTCCTTGCAGATAACATCAGCAAATCATAATCAGATTATAACACTATTGTGAAGGGTAAGTGAAAAATGCGAGTTCTGGTTTTGAAAAGTCTAAAATATGGCACCCAGGGCACTGAAGGTCTCCAAATGGAAGATAGATGCACATGATAGCATGCTTTCAGATTCCCTGTGATAGGAAGGATGAAGCAGGAGAACAGGAGGACCAAAAGTTCAATGCCAGCCTCCTGTAACACAACCCTTTCTTAAACAACAGCAGAAGTTCTATCACTCTAAGAAGAAAGTTGAGATTTTTAGAGGATAATCTAAGGAGAAATGATTTCTTATGGTCTGTGTTGCATTAGGCTAACTATAGAGACCAAAAAATGCACCATATATTAAAACAAGAATCAGAAAGAATTATTAATATTTTCATCACAAAATAATAAATGTTTGAGTAGATATAAATAATTATTGTCATTTGAGTGTTATGCTGTGCATAGCTGTATCAAAACATCCTGAAAATATTTACCTTTGCTGTGCTGGGAATGGAACTCAGACCTCAAACATTTTAGTTAGGTACTCTAGCAGTGAGTTACATCTCTAGTTTTGTATAAATAAAAATTGAAAAGACAGAAACTAGGAAAACAACTCAGTCAGTATAGTATTTGCTGCAGAAATATGAGGATGGAGTTTAACCCTCCTCCCCAGAAGCCATGTAAAATACAGCTGAAAAATAATGTGAGAGCTTAAAGATAGGGCATAGCTCTGTGGAATGTTATCTATTGCAAAGACACAGCAACTGCAATCGGGATCTCTCAGCACTGCAAAGAATGGGCTCATCAACAGTCAGGTATGAGTGGAGGAGAGGTTCATGGGGCCCTACCCCCCACTGTTGGACTATTTAGTATTGATTGAGTCAGGGAAAGGTAAGACCATTACCTTCAGCCAAGTGCTTGTTGGTGACCTAACAAGACTCCAATAGGTAGTTCAAATCCACTGGTCATAATATGGCCCAGATTAAAATAAATGCATTACAAAATAAAACCAAAGTCATGAAACAAACTAGTATCAATGAATCAGTGAGGTGATGATTGTTAGAAATAAAAGGGAGATAAGAGAAGATGTTGGTGGGAGAATGGTCATATAATTGCATATCTATACATATATATTCAAATACATATATGTATATGAAGCTGTCAAATGATAAAATTTATCCATTACAAAAAAAAGAGAGATGGGGCTAGAGAGGGCTGGAGAGCTGGCCTTTGCAGAGAACCTGGGTTCCAGTCCCAATACCCATATAGCAGATCACAGCAGTTTATAAGTTCAGGCAAGTACCCATACACATAAAGTAATATATATATATATATATATATATATATATATATATATATATATACTTATGAACAAAAGAACTGAGTATGAAGGCACATATTTGTAAGCCCAGACCACCTAGAAACCCTATCTTTAAAAAAAATAGACAGTGCCTGGATGTTGACCTCTGACACACACACACACGGGTGAGTACTTATACAACCACACACACACAGATGTATGCATACCACACACACACACACACACACACACACACACAAACACAAACACACATGAGGGAACTGGTGTGTGTGAAAACAAGCCTTTTCTTTCATTTAATGAACACTTACTCCCAAGTTGAACATAGCTTGTTGATCCTGGAGCCCTCACAAGTGAACAATTAATAAAAATGGCCTGTGGTATGTGTTTTGGTAGCACACACGCCAAACTCTAGAGAAGGTGATTGTAGAAAATATCTCAATCTGGGAAAATATGGGCAAACTTCACACACAAGAGGAGGGACCTGGGCTTTAGAAAAAGCATGGAATGGATACGTGATGTAGATGGTGGAAGCATGCATGTGAGAGACCTAGCAGCATGTTCGGGAAGCACTTAGAATTGCAGAGGGCAGAAAGACTATAAGAGCTGAAGCAACAGGAAATCTGTTGTAAGGCTGTGTCTCCTAGAAGTGATAGAGAAGCTTCAGTCATGATCCCTCAACAATATGGCTACCTAATCAAAACCTGAACAAGTACAACACCAATAGACATGATAACACAGAAATGAAACATTTCAAGAGACCCCACCCCTTAACAAAAACTATTAGCAACTAAGAAGTGCTCAGGGGAGAAAATAGCCTTCCCCAGGGAAGAGTTTCCAAATAGATTACCCACTCCCAGGTGGTCGGGCCCGAATAAACAGTCTGAGCAGGTTGTATCTATGCATTTGGGTTTATGTGTATATACATATATGTGAGTGCATATTATATATGTATGTATAAAACAATATAAAAAGAAGGGATGGATCTGAAAGGTAGCAAGAAGAGGTATGGGAGGTTTAGAGGGAGAAAAGGGAATGGGGAAGTGATGTAATTATATTTTAATTTCAAAAATAAAAAATTAATATCTCTTAAGGAAAGAATTTTATTGTGAAGAATGAGGGAGCAGTCTGACAGAAACAAAACTAGAAGGTCAGTTGGGATGGTGGCCCTGGTGGCACAAGCCTAGAATCCCAGCTTTAAGTCTGGGTACATAGCAAAATTGATTTAAAAATTTTGCAAGCTTTTTTAAAGGTCACTAGAGATAAATAGTGGAGAGCCTTTTATGTTTTTATCATCTTCTGTTGTAAGTGAAATACTTTTTCATTCCTAAAAGATAAATGTGAAATGACTGGGAATACGGAGAAAGTGCTGGCGTGAAAGGAACTGGAAGGAACAGAGGACAGGTTTGTGGGAAAAGTTGAGATAGCTGGAAAGGAAGTGATGGGAATACATTTAGGAACAGAAATCTAGTAGCCAGAAACTGAAGGAGGAATTTGGTGCCATAGATGTGCATGACAGGGAGTTAAAGTCCATGGGCCATGGAAGAAATGGCCCAAGTCAAGTTGAGAGTATACAATTTTAAAGTCAGGAGGTGATTGACACAATGGTTTATGTTTCCAAATTCCACTCTGTTTTTTAAACTTTGTTAATGATTAAACATGGGGCAATCTGGTAATCCCCTGATAAGTTTTAAAGCTGTCAGCAAATTTGAATCCCTCCCTGTAGGATAAACAGAGAGGCACATTCAGGGTATAGCTAGTTAATATATAACTTTCTAATGCTTAAAAGTTTTCAGTGCAATCAAGATATCTCTTTAGAAATGTCTGATTAGAAGTGATTCCCTACCAGCGGAAGAAGAATGTCATCCATTTCTCAAAAACTGGCAAAGCAAACTGAATCTCCTACTTGGAGTTGGCAGGCAGCGCATCAGTTTCAATTTTAATGTTTGGTTTGCTACAGTCATGGAAACTATCTTGCAAGTTTGGAGTAGATCCTACTCAACCACCAAAATAAAAGCTAAGAAGGAGCAACTCAAAACAGAAAAGAAAGATTTTGCTAGACTTGGGAAAGGAGAGGCAGGAGACACTTGCTTGAGATCCTTGGAGGACCATGAACCAACCTTCTAAATCCAACATATGGTGGGTGAGTGGTGTATATGGTTAGGAAAGTGAGCTGGCTGCCTGCTGGTGGGACTAGCTTGGATAGGAAGTGCCATTCATAGCCATAAGATATCATGAGTTCAGGGACACTGGGGGTAGAGGTGTCTTTGGGATTGACAGTCAAGCCTCCTATTTCTCTGTCATGAAAAGAAAAAAAAAATGGAGAAATTCTCCTTAAGCAAAATGTTCAAAAACATCTATAATTTGATAATGTGCTGGAAATTTGTATATCCCAGCTAAGAAAAAAAAAAACTAGAAAGGCCAGGGCAGTATTCAGTAAGCATAGATGGCTGCCACGAAAACCACACGTGAGCCCTATTTCCTCCATTCGCCTAAGATACTTCTCATGGCATTTCTCATCACTTGCCTCCTTGCTTCTTTTTTCACTGGAAAGGAAGGCTTACTAACTGATAAAAATAACAATAAATAAAATTAAAATTAGAAACGATTCAAAATGTGTACTAGAAAAATAATTCTCAGTGAGCAGGGATGGAAAAAACTGCTTCCATGGAAAATAAAGCAGGAGAAAGACTAGTTTTAAAAACAACTGAGTAGAAAGGGGGCAATTAGGGGAAAGGAAGGAAGGAGGGAGAGGAGAGAGAAAGGTTAGAGAAAGGGTGGGATCAGGTATGCTTTATGCTGTATGGAGATGTCACAGTGAAACACATTGCCTTTCTAGTTGCTATCATGAATTCACAACAGATTTTTTTTCCTATTTCAGAGGTTCAGAAAGAAGGCTTCTGATATGCCTTTACTTTCAGAACAAAGAGACTTTTTTCTTTTTCCCTTTTCTAAAAACCACTGGACTCATCTGAGGGAAGGCAGCTAGAAGGAGCTGAAGGGAGGAAAGGAGGGGGAAGTGACATCCTTCTATTTCAGTTAAGACATTTTTTAAAAGCACTTTCAACATGTAATTATTCCAGAACGGAGCCTTCATCTTTGTACTATAAAAATCATTACCATTATATGCAATGCAAATAGTAATGTTTAAAAACAACTTTTTTACATATGTATTTCTAATTTTGATTGTGATTTTAATCTTACAAATATATGGTGAGTTACATGATAATCTTTTACATTTATACAGTATGTTATGATCAAATCAGGTTAGTTAATATTTCTTCTCACCTTATTCAAATTTTTTCACTTAAATGTGATAATTGAACACATTTATGAAGCACAGTGTGATATGTCAATAGATATGGATAATATGTTCCAATCACATTAGGATAATTTGTGTCTTCACTACCTGATCATTGCTTTTTGTCTGGAGACTTCTAGACTCTCTCTTCACAAAAAGGTAAATGTATTATAAAATAGCTTTTATTAGTGAGACTCCTGTACCTAACGTATCTTATATCAACCAGAATTATTTTGTATTAACCTCTCTCTCTCTCTCTCTCTCTCTCTCTCTCTTTCTCTCTCTCTCTCTCTCACACACACACACAGACACACACACACACTGTATAGTCAAGTCAGTGTAACTAGCATTTCTTTTTCTTAAAAATATGTATTGCTTTGCATTGGAACCTTTGATTGCCTCTTTTAGCACTTTGCAAAACACATAATAAATTGTGGCTGTGGGTTGTAGCTCAGTAGCAGAGTGATTTCCCAGCATGCGTAAGGCCTTGGGTGCAATCCTCAAAACTTCAGAATAAAACAGTTCTAAAAACTACTGTATCCTATAGTCCAGTGACAGTGCTATAGAACACTATAACTTACATTGTATATGACTGTGTTTTGCTACCTGCTGTCTCGCTGTATGACCTTACTCTGGCCCTTCCCAGCCTCTAGTGCATTTTACTCTCTTCTGTGAGATCAGCAGTTTTGACTTCCAAATATGAGTGAGGTCATCCACTGCTTATCTTTCTGTGCCTTGCTTATTTCTCTTGATGCAATCTCCAGTCCCTGAGAGAAGAAACAGGTACTTTTAAATGTAATAACTACTTCCTTTTCAGGAGCCAATAATTTTTCTGGATATGACTCACATAGGTGATAGCAACAAAATGTGTGCATAAATTTAAGCATTGGTAACAGCCTGCCCACTTCTAATTGTGTCCTGCCACAGACCCCCATCAAGGGACTGGAAGAGTTCATAGGTTCCTCATCTGGAGAAATTTGTGAATCCCTAGATCTGTGCTTCGGCATCACCCCAGACAGGCTGCTGTTCTAACTTTGTTGTAGTTCCTATTGTGGTCCCTTGACGCCTGTTTTCATTATAATAAAAGGTAAACAACAAACAGAATTATCTATTCAATACTGTTACTTAATAACAGTAAAGAGCGGTAGCATATTGAGCATTGTCTACATGCTTGACTTTTTCACCGCAGCTTCATTAGGATTCTAATGACAATGCCTCCTTACACCTAGGTTGTATTGGTAGGAGGAACCTGTAAGTGGACTGCGTAGGTGAAATCACGTATCACTAAAGAACAATTTCTGGGTCCTTGCACATTTTCAGAAGTCAGCAAAGTGGATTTAAGGCACAAATGAGCCTTCTACAGTTACTTCAATACCATCCTCCCACTAGCTGGGTAATGAGGTCGGGGCTCTGTGCCTTACAGGAGCAGCAGCAGTGGCAACAACTTTCAAGGATTGTGTCCTATCTTGCAAGCTTTGCTACCTTTGGTAAAATAGTTAACTTTCCCTGACTTCGTTTTCTCATCTGGCAAACGGCGTTACTAATAATATCTATATTATCTATTATATAAAGTGGATGAGAAGAATAAAGAGAAAACATATGTTAGGTGTTTGGAAAGGGGCTCAGCATCTGCAAAGTATACAATAAATGTTGGCTATTCTTCTTAATCAGACTCACAAATTGACTACTTATCCAGTAGTAGATTGAGAAATTTACTTGTAGAATAAGTTTGTGTCTGCATACACACACACACACACACACACACACACACACACACACCACGTATGTGCACACACACACAGAGGAGGGAGGGAGGGAGGGAGGTGGGGAAACAAGTCCTATTACAACAAGGAATTCTGTTTGCAAGCACTGCTTATTCCGTTCACATATACAGATGATATATGAAGCCAGTGACTGAATTTAAAGAAAAAGCTTAAACCGCTTTGAAATTTACATCTAAAACATAAATATGTCAAATAATAGAAATCCCAAACATATTGCTCTACAAAGTCTTACAGTTGACTTGATGCCTGCAGATAATAACGTTAGGATTGCCCCCATTCCCTGTTGCAGTTCTGCTCTCCTTGTGAGAATAACATATGCAGGGAAGCAAGTTTCAGTCTTTTCACCTTTGTCCAGTACAGCAATTTCTCTATAACAATAATTTTGTTGGACACAGATGCTCAGGCTGTTACTCTGATGCTTAGGCTGTTCTTAGTCTTCAGATGCTCTGGTCTCATCTTCCTAGACACTGGGATTACAGGTGTGTGTCACCATGTCCATCTGTGGAGTGATGATTAATTCTGCTCTGGTATCATTCATTCATTCACACAGCTGCAAGTACACACATCCTCAGAAGATTTTAGTAGAGGAATTACCTTAACTGATCTGTACACAGTTAGTGTTTGTTTTAAATACCACAGCATACAACTGAGGAACTCAATTGTTCTAATAATTTCTACATTTTGACAAAATAAAACATATAAGAGGTCTCTGGCTTTGATTTATCTCATGAACTTGAAGAGATACTTTAGTTTCCAAATTATTTCTCCAAGATGTTGGTCTCCAGGAGCACTGACACAGTAAAGTCTGTATAATGACATTTCTTTGTTGATAGTACTGTTTCCAGATATTAATAATGACAAATTGTGTTTTAACACCAAAATTTAATAAATTCACACATTTATTCCTAAAAATTTTCAAGTTCACATATACAGTAATTGATATGCCTTAAATTAGAATGTCTGCAGCTTAAAGAGTATGTCCAATCAGTGGTATTAAGTCATTACATGTGACAAGATAAAAGCGTAATGGTAGGTGTGAGCTAGGACCCACCCGGGATGAATGGAATGTATACAGTTGCATATGACCCTGGGCATGAACTACCCATAACTTAACTTTCAGTTTTAGGTTTGATGGACATGATACTTATAATCTTGGCAATGCCCCATGTCTGATTTTATTACTTCATCTCATCTACTGTGCTTTATTTAATTTATCTGTTAATGGATGCTGCTAAAGCTCAGTCAGTAGAGTGCTTACCTGTCATGCACAAAGCCCCTAACTCCATGCGTAGTACTGCATAAACCAAACATGATGATTCATGCCTTGTATTCTCAGTCCTCATAACATGGAAACATAAGGATTGGAACTTCAAAATCACGCTCAGTTGCACAGTGAATTTCAGGTCAACCTGAAATGACATGAGACAATGTCTCAAAGGACAAATGATCTGATTGAAGATTTGTGAATTTTCATCTGATCACAAACTTGTCAAAATCGGGGACATACTATGATTTATCTCTCTAGCTCTAGACTGTCATAGCGCCCAGAAAGTAGGTTAAACCATTAGAATTCCTGGGTGAGGATTATGGCCCTGGCTCCATAGTTGAGAACCTGTTGAAGAATGGAGCAAAACCATATACCTACTAAAGTAAGAGGGCTAACCTAGATGTGAAGCACAAGGCTTAGAGGAGCTTGAGACTTCACTTCAAATTCCAACTGCTTTTCTAAATGTGCAACTTGGATAAGCCAGCACTTGTTCAGTTTCAGGATCTTTCTCCATAAGTGGAAGCTGGTCCATCAGGAAATATTGACCTTATTTTTACAAGTCACTGAGTTTTTTGGTTTTTTTTAACAAGTCATCTTACAGAAGGGACTCTGAAAACTTAAAAGAGAAAATATCCTGCTAGGTTCAAAATGCATGTCAAAATGAGAGTCTCCGTTTAGGTGTACCATGGACCTAAAGAACTAGTGATTTGCCCTGCACCAGAATGCTTTGGAAATTTGTTTTGGTTATATATGTGACATCCCATTTTGTCCTTTTTAAGGATTCGTT